GTCATTAGTGCGCAACTAAAACCGCACAGCACCATGATCACCAGCGTAGCAAAGGCTGTGCAGATTCATGCCGAAGAGTTGAAAGAATGTAGAGAAAAAGTGAACATGATGGAAAAGCAAGTGAGTATGCTCACTAAAGAAAATGATGATTTGAGAAGCCGTGTCTTGGACCAGGAGAGATATAAGAGAAGATGGTTCCTTCGCATCAAAGTTAAATATGAAACTACAACCGCCAGTAGGTGGCAGCAAGTGAATTGCTGAGTCATAATGAGTGAGTTGAATCAAATGATTCGTTTAAAAAGCTGATTCATTTAACTTTGCAAACCACTGTACTTATAGCCTGATTGAATCATTTGCTGGTCCGTGTAACCCTGAGGAACAAAACACAGAGAGGCAGCGGTTCTGCTGTTTGTTCTATTTTCTTTCTGATGGAGTAAAATGGAATTTTGTGTCTGAAAGTTACTCTGTAAGTTGTTGTTTATTGTATTTGCAATCGTGCAGATATTCGACAAAAAAACAGGTGTCTTGTTTGTGTAATAGGCTAAGTCCTATATCATGTTATAAAAACAGAAACTCATTAAATTGCTATTTTTATTTAAAATCATTTTGATGACATTTCTTCCCCACTATGTGTAATGGCAGTAAGAGGCGAGAGAGAGCGCTCAAAACTCATCAGATGATTGCATAATTTAGTGGAACATTAATATAATAATATAGAATCATCCTCTGTAAAGAACTGAGGTGTGAACATTTGAGAATTTATCATTATCTTTCTAAATGTGTGCTCTTTGGGGCTAAATGCTTAATGGAGCTGTTTAAAGTAGCCATGTGATAAACCAATCGGTGCAGACACGATTCAATACGTGTGTCCTTCTTCTATGTGAAATCATCATAAATACCAGTTTATGCTGTTTGATTGTGGTCTCGAAGGTCGTAGATGTAAGCTCTAGCCCCGTTTAGATCTTGCATGAGCAGTGGAAATGCAGCGAATAATTTCTGAATCCTGACTGGCATATAACGAACAAATCAAACAAACATAAACGGGCAAAGGCGGGGCCCATGGGCTGCAGCCCACTCAAGCCCAATGGTAAGGCACCAAAGGTTTCGAACTCCTCCTCGACCATTGGTCTGATTTTTACCAAAATCGAATCAGATCATCTTCAGACCATGCTTGCAAAAGTTATGGATTTTGTGTTGATACAAAAAAAAAAAGTTTTTGTATTGCGCCGCTACAAATTTGAGGCATGATGCCAAAATGACTCTGAGGCTGTATCTCCGCAAAGCTTTGACATATTGACACCAAACTTTGTGTGTGCCATTGTCACCTCACACAGAACACACCACATCAATTTGGTAACAGCGCCACCTGTTGGTCAAACGTGATAAGACATTAAATCATATTAAAAATGTAAAATCGTTCACCCTTATCTTCCCCCTTCCTTCTGTAGATCACTGGTTTTCGACTGAGGCTTTAGGACTGTCTGTGCTGGTTCTGATTCAGATTTTGATCATCACCAAAGTAAAACAGATGCAATCTCTGGACCTCAGGACAGTGGTTCCTTATAATTTGCCTTCAGAGCCAACAGATCTGCATGTGATTCTGTCAACATATTGCTACATTTTAATTGACTGTATTTTTAGATTGCATCCCATGCCATTTTTTACTTTTTAGATTTACTACAAAAAATATGGTCATTACTGGCCTAGTTTAACATCTGGACGGATAACTGAAAGCTACTCAATCCTAACGTATGAACTAGGATTTTTTTCTCTCTAATTGTTCTTAACAATTAGGAAAGTATTTGCAGTATAAACAGTAAGCATCCACATCTGTACCAAACTGTGAATGACAAAGTGTGTGCACATATGTATATTTGGTACAGTTTTTAATGTATGTATACATATGTTAAAATAATATTTAAATTTAATAAGTGTCTTCTTATTAAGTGTCTTCACTCATTCTTTTCTTTCCTCTTCCTTTGTCTGTTTAATACATGATTTATAGTTTAATATTCTTTGTAAATCTGCTTTTGCACAAATGTATTGTAAAAAACTAAACAAATTAAACTTTTATAAGAAACGTTTTTGTTGGTATTGTGTTTTATATATATTTTTTGTTGTTGTTGTTGTTGTTGTTGTTGTTGTTGTTTTTTTTACAATTATTGTACTATATTCAGAAAAATTGTTTTTCCAAATAACATATTCAATGAAATTTGAAGGCAATGTTTCAAAAGATTACATTTACTTTCAAATGACAGATTCAGACACAATCAGAGCTGAAATCTGCTGCTCAAACTGCTGAGATCAGGCTGAAATGATCAGATCTTGTTCAAAATAAACTTCAGCCGCTCTAAGCATTGCGCACATGAAGTTTGATGGACTTTCCCATCTTCTTATTAGTCCTCCTGATTACCTGACTGTGAATGTGAAGTTTCTGATTGTTAATGTGGCTGTATGTTAATGTATCCTGGTTTATGAGATCAGCTATTCTTTTTGCAGCTCAGTTTCAGCAAATACATTTTGTATGAGAGATTTCTGAAAGTGATCTGTGTAAAGGCATCTAGTCTCTTAACTCATGTTATAACGTAAAACAGGAAAAGACATGATTTGTGTTTGTACATTGCTATACATTTTATTTTCCATTGCTATATGTACATACATTGCTGTACATTGCTATATTTTTTTATGTAATATGGTGAAAATGATTAATTTTTCAAAAGTCATTGAGCTTGAACCTGGAATATTTATGATCATGGACTCACAAATCAAACACACACTGTTTTGTTGACCAAGTGTCTAAGCTAATAGACCACATCCAGTATTAAAAACTACACTGGCAAATCATGAGGATAGTTAATGCATTTTTGCACACAGTGTTTGAATACAATAAATCAAATTGTAAATACACCACTTGATCTTATACATAGAGACTATTATTCAGTGCTTTATTTTGCTAAGTGGAAACACTTTGTCGTTTACTGTCTGCATTGTTGCCTAATAATTAAATTAAAGCAACACTGTTTTTCACATCTAACAGTATAAAGCTGCTTCTGTCCAAGCCTTCCAGTCCGTTAGCTGCTGTAGGGAAATAACGAGAAGAATAACAACGTGCAGTAAACGATAAAACTGTTTGCATTATAAACCAGTGTGTTCGTAATTAAGACAACACATTCAAATAATATGGTAAGACACACCCATTTTCAATATCAAGCAGCAAAACGAGCGGTTATGTACAGCTAAAAATAGAATTACATAGACCCATAGAATTTACAAAGCGCCCATTTTTACGGGAAGAAAAAGGTGGATATTGACTTCATTTTTAGAAAGGTCTATATACGTGATGAAAGTGGAGCAGTCAGTCAGAGAATCTGCGTGCCACAAGAAAATAGTTACTGTACTCAAAAAGCATTGTGGAAAATAATACAGCAATCCCAAACATTCTATTCTATCCGGATGGATTTGATCCCCTCCCTCATGAACAGCACTGCGGCTGCTGTGGAGTCATTCAGATTCCGGGACCACCATCCCTCAGGACCTGTAATGGGACACTCACATTAACTCCATTATGAAAAAAGCCCCGCAGAGTCTGTATTTCCTGTGAGGTGTGAGGGGGAGAAGTGGCTTCATCCACTGTCTGCCGATTCCTTGCAAATCCGTTAATCAATACTGTGTGACCACAACTCTCACCTTCCAGTGACTAACACAGGTCAGCGCTACAGCACTGAGCACCAGAACAGTGTTGTGTATTGCACATGCTTTTAAACATATGTATAAACATGTGCAATACACAGCACTACTTAATCTTGTGTTTATTTGGCATGCACATAACTCTTATTCACATTCCTTTGCAGTTGTATATAACATATTGTACATATATTATACATGCATATATTGTCTATTTTTTGTATATTGTGTGTTTTTACATATAGTTTCACTTTTTAAAAAAAATACTTATTTTATTCTTGACGCTGTCATTCTGTGCACTGGAAGCTTCTGTCACCAAGACAAATTTCTAGCAAGCATACTTGGCTATAAAGCGCATTCATTCTGATCTACTTTAAAATAACAACCAGTAGAGGGCAATAATTACCAATCATATACTGCTCCAGTGGGAAACACCAAATATTCCCAGTCTCCGAGCTCACTCACCTGTGATGCTTTCAGTTTCGTTTGAAGTCTCGCTAAGCGTGCGATGTGCGCGCAGTTTAGACGCCAGAGCAAACGAGCCATACAGAACCTTCACAATGTAAGTATTCTTGTTTTAAAATGCATGGCTTTGTGTTATTATATCAGTTGTTGTGTTTATGTTCGTGGGAAACTAAATCCGCTAGTGATGCTAAAATTAGTGGACATGTTAATGAAAGTGTCCATTATGATTACGATGATAACAGTGGTTATGATTTTCACTCGTGCGGTTATTGTAATTATTAGATTGTTGACGATAAGATTGTTTTGTGGCACGTTACTGAATTTCCAAAACTTGTTGTTTGTGTCTTGGGTTTGACTGATCGTATCATTTCTTAAACCAAAGATTGAGATTAGTTTGATGTCTCTTATCGGACATTTAAGATCCACATGTGTTAAATCTTACAGTTAAAACGGAAGGCTTCGACTGTATTGTGCTCAGTTGTATAGCATTTTATCATTCAGCCAGGCGTTTTATTCGTGTATAAATGTCTTTGTTATATGTTTGTTATGTAACAGCTGTCTGTATTCTCATCAGGTCGAATCTTCTGCTTCTGCTGCTGTTTTGCATCATCTATCATAGCGGTCAGTGTACACTCTAAAAAATGCTGGGTTAAATACAACTCAGTGCTGGGTTAATTAGGGACAAACCCAGCAGTTTGGTTAAATGTTTAACCCAACCTTCTGGGTAGTAACCCAACCGCTGGGTCAAAACAACCCAATTGCTGGGTTTGTCCCTATTTTACCCAGCACTGGGTTGTATTTAACCCAGCATTTTTTAGAGTGTAATTTTTGTTTATAAAATGTCAATTGTTTTGATTTTTCAGTTCCAGCTAGAGTTATTCTAGTCCATTGATTTTTTCTGTTGCACCCCTACGTGAAGTTCTTTTGTTGACGTTTGTGAATTGATGGTGGAAATTCCCCAGCATATTACGTCATCATTGCACATCATGACGTCACTGACTTATCCATGCAGTTCATTCCAGTTCATTAATTATTAAACATTGTTTGGTCAGGGTCTACTGTCATGAATGAGGTTTGTTTGTGATCTCTGAAAGACCAGTACAACACAAAACTGTCTCATGAGATGAACAGTTCTGAACGCTAAAGAAATTGAAAATAATTAGCTAGGATTTAAACACATTCTCATACTTTAATGTTTTTGCGTTTTGTTTCAATTTCATGGGCAATAGCTTGAACCTACAACCTAAATCTTTACATTCTTTTTTTTTTTTTAAGATTTATTTTTGACATTTTTGCCTTTTTTTATTTGATAGGATAGTAGTTAGACAGGAAACGAAGTTGGAGAGAGAGGGGGGACGGGACAGGGAAAGGTCCTGGGACTCGAACACGGGACGCCCGAAGCACAACGGCGCTACATGTAGACGCGCTGCCCACGAGGCTTTTGGCGCAGACTACGTTCATTCCTGATGCTAAATTTTGGAGAAACTCCACCATTGAATCACAACACTGAATCAACTTGAATGTGTGGTGGAACCTCTTGAGCAAAAGAAAAGCACTAAAATAACTCTACTAGAATATTTTATGGTGACACTGATTACAGAGAATAAACAGAAACACATTTATTTTTCAGTATTGATACTTTGTATTGAATGTATCTGTATTTACAGGAACCTCCACTATACCTGTGAAAGGAAGAAAGGGAGGCGACGCCATACTGACATGTGAATACAAGGCCAGAGAGATTTCAGATATTCGTTTCATTCGTCACAGAAAACGCATCCACTTTGCTGTCATCCCTGTTTGTCCGAATGAAGAACATAAACGTGCGCGTGCCCGAGTATGTAATAAAGAAGCATGTGACGTCGTCATCAAGGATCTGATCTTCAGTGACGCTGGGAAATACATTTTTAGATTCGATTACAAAAATGCTCCGACAGAGCTGGAGTACCAACTTTATATTTATGGTAAAGTCAAAACTGATCAAACCATCAGCATTAGCTTTCTGGATTTCCTTTAGTAATTATGTGGCATGCATGCTTGCGTCATGATTGCATCTGGTTCCATAAATATAAATATGTGCTTATGGCCTTGATCGATTGAGACAATAATAATAATGTCTTTCTGTCTCTCTTCAGATGAGTTTTCTGTGAAAATCAGTGAGAAGCTGAAGTTAGATGTTCTGTTGTCTAATGCTGATAAAGTGCAGCATCACAGCAGAAGAAGCACAGAGTGGAAGGATGTCTGGAAGAGAGGCCATGGTGTTCAAAATGACCAGCTGAATGACAGAGATGGAAACCTGATCATCAATAACTTTACAGCCAGTGATGCAGGAATTTACAGAGTTTTGGACTCTGAAGGAGAACTCTTGATCACAGTGACTGTTGAAGGTGAGAGAAACTCGGGATATATGGAAATATTATATTTAAAGCGTTATTCTTATTCACTTTGAACTACCTAACCTTTTATTATCTTGTACAGAATCTCCGGAATCTCCAGAAACTCCAGGATCAACGAACAGACCCAAGAGTGACGCTACACAAAACAGTAAGTAAAACAGGAGGCACTGAGAGCTTTACTAAATCTTTAAACGGTGAGCTTGAAACAATAAAATGTGTCTCCCTTCCCTCTGTAGATCACTGGATTGGACCAGCCAGGCAGCCTGTGTGTTTTTGGGTGGTTCTTTGGTGGCTCTGCCTCTTTTAAAAGAACAAGGATACACCAATGTCTAGATGGAGGTCTGAGTAGGTACTACGTTTGATGAAGAACTATCGTCATGACTGTTAAACAGTATGTTCTATATGGCATGAATTTAATCTAGATGTGCTACAGCTGCCATATTGTCATGTGAGCTATGATCCCGAAAGTAGTAGGTCATCCAGGTACTTTTTGTCTGCTGTTTTATGAGTACTACGCCCTATCTGGACAGTAATTATTTCTCATGGGGACGTAATCCAAAAATGTTCAGTTTACAGGGGTTAGACAGTGATTTTATTGCCGTCCGAATCTAGAATGTCAGTGTTTTTCTCCCACCACTTGTATAACGATTCCCTGACCAAATAACCTGCTGTTTTTTTTTAACAAACATAAAGGTCATGTGGTAATTTCACTGCCGTCCAAATCCACATCTCTGAGTTTACAAGAAGGGATCAATTCAAAAATCACTGTATAAATTATTTTTGACCACTGCTGAACACCGTACGGGAACTGTTGCGCTTCGCTGTGATTTGCATGCATTTTAAAGATGTACATTTTTATTACTGAAATGCTGGAAAGTATTTACAAACAATATTCAGTGCTCAGTGAGTTCACTTTGCTCAGGTGCACCAGTGCTCCTCCACAGCGAGTGGGAGCTGTTTACAAATAAACATTTCTGGCATATTTATTTATTTATTTATTTAAATGGATTAATAGTGTGCTTTTTCTGTGGATTAATAGTGTGTTTAGATTTAACCTTTGTATTATGTTAAACAATAAAAATAAAAAATCTGTGCAATCTTTACTGTGCAGGTCAAACTGACCCCAGTGGATTCAGTGTACTTCCTTAAAATCATCACAGCATCGGACACAATGTTCTTCTCAAACAGCACTTCATTTCAGACTGAAATCATCAGAGATCTTGTTCAAAATAAACATCAGCCGCTCTAAACACCATGCAGTCATATGTGGAACCAGACAGCCAGAAGAAGCACAATGTTTGATGGACTTCTCTTTTATTAGTAGTCCTCCTGATTAGTGTGAAAGTTAAGTTTCTGATGATTAAAAATATGCAAGTGTGGGTAAAGCCATATGACAATGTGACAGTGGAAGGTTGCAAAGTACTTATACTAAAGTTGGTCGTCTCATTTTTTTCTACAAGACTGATCATGATACTTTTTAAGTCAATACACCTTGGCTAACTGTTAGTTGGTCAGAACACCATCTTAACATAGTGGCTGTGTTTATGCAACTAGACATTGGTTTGTGAGGGCAGCAACTGTTTTTTGCAGCTTAGTTTCAACAAATGCTCGGATAGATTTGCCGTTTGCATTCGCGACTCAGGAGGCGTTGAAAACCCAGCTGTCTTTGTTTCTACATGACAAATATTGCATCTAATTAGTGATGGGAATTTCAGATCATTTTACAGACTCGGACCTTTGAGTCTCGTTCAGCAAAATGAACAAATCTTTTTTCAAAACATTTCGTTCATTTTAGCAAAATATAATTAAAATGTTATGTGTTACCTCCCTAACACATCTACTTTTTACGCAAACGTTGATCACACTACAAACAAGACAAAAATATAATGCTATAAGAAACAGAAAAGATTAATCCATTGTTTACCTGGGTCTTCAGTCTATGATTAGCTCACCTCACCTCATCATGTGACAGCCCCATAAGCTTAACCTATGCAGTCTGAGCCGGAAAGAGAATTGATTGGTTTCGAGTCCTCGGGTTTTTCGAGTCGAACGACTGAGACTGCATAGGTTAAGCTTATGGGGCTGTCACATGAAGAGCAAACGACTCTAAAAACCCGAAGACTCGAAACAGGTGAACTAATTCCAGCACAGAACCTATCGAATGTTGCGCATGCGTGACTGAACGAATCACTCCCCGAGATGACTCGTTCTTCCCGAATCACATTAAAGATTTGTTCAAAATGAACGAATCGTTCAAGAATGACCTATCACTATATCTAATCCACTTCACCTGTGATAAAATAAGAAAATACAGCGCAAGCATCAAAGGAAGCAGAGAGTTTTCGACTCGACAGCTTCTCCCACCACTATAATGCTTAGTTCACACTAGAGGATTTTAAGCCTGATTTGCATGTTAATCAAATCAGGTCGGGCTGTGATCGGGGGAAAATCAGCGGATGATCGGCGCTCGATCTTTATGTGTGAACTAATCAACGACGCATCAAAGAGGCTCGCTGATGCGTCGCCAACACCTCGCTGACGCCAAACAAATCTAGCGTGCCAAATATCTGGACCGGTCGGCCGACTCGACATGTGGTGTCAGGTTCTATATTCTTTGTCAGGAATCGCGACGAGCTACAGCCAATGAGAGAGCAAGGCATGGGTTAAGGTCAGCGGAAGAAAAACGGCAGCAGCAACATGGCTTTAAGAAAAGTTTAGACACAATAAATGGATTGAAATTTTTCAGGACAGATCATCGCGCAGTGCTAATTTCTTCCCGACGTCCATTTTCAAATAAACAACTCCTGTTTCACGTGTTTCGTGTCATTCCCGTTCCACTTCTCATGTGTGTTTTCATGACAATAGCGTGTTTTGGGGACAGAGATGTTGTCTGCTGTGTAGTGTGAACTTGGCTTAAGTGACAAATGTCAGCGATCGACTGAAATCCAGCTGCATGCGGCCGTACAGACCTAGGCCTACGAATGATGTTACACATGACACTGAAGCACAGCACGTATTGTTTTCAGAGAAACACGTGATCAACGAGAAACAACTGTGACAGCTCCTGGATCACGTGATGGTGTTGGTAGGTGTTAGGGATGGAGAAATGAAGCCTCTTAAATCTTTGAAGCTTTTCTCTGATTGTTTCGGGAAAGACAATGGCATCTTGTGGTAGGTCAAATTTATAACAGCCTTAAACCTGAGTGAGCAGCTCCGTTGTTTAATCCATTAAAAGCAGAAATATTTGTTCAGTTTGCCAGTAATACAATTCACATATTAAAGTGTGGCAATAAATTCAAGGTAATAACATCAACGACAACAATAATATTGTTGCTCTAAGAATTCACGTGATTGGAAAGAAAAGGTGTGTGTGTGTGTGTTCGACTTGAAGCAGCGCTGCGCAGCCTGATAGGTGTACTGTATGACATCAAAGTACCACGAGAGCAATAAAGAGCTGCATGCTTTTAAAACGCTCTCGCGGTAATTTGATGTCATGCACTCATCAGCCAGCACAGTGCCGCTTCAAATTGAACAGCCACCGTACCTTTTACACTTAGTAATTTGCGATGTTTTGTCGCCAGAACATGTAGAACCTTTACAATGTAAGTGTTCATGCTTTTAAACATAAGGCTTGTGTATATTTCGTGTGCTATTACCAATGGCTGTGTTTCTGTTTGTGGGAAAACTAAACCCTAAATGAAATGAGTGAAGTAAAGTGATAAGACACCAAGAAGATTATGATCTTTTGTGGATTTGTATTAATAATTAATAGGCCTACATTGTTCTACATACTCCGACGACAGGATCGGTTTAGGAAAATTAATTACAAAAGCTTTTTGTCCATTGGGCCTTTGGGTCATTTTGATTTTTGTGATTACACAGAAATCATGTATCAAACCAAAGACTAAGTTTACAGTGTGATATTTCTTATTGGAATTTATTTTTATTTTTTTTATCATTAGAAGTCCACGCATTCAATCTTTAATAAAAACTAACGTTGAAAGTATTAAGCCGGGTGTATTGTGGTTATATAGTAGCCTATTTTACCACTCAGGAAGTGTTTTATCACTGTATAAATTCAAAATAACATAACAGCTCTTCTGTATTCTCACCAGGTTCAGACGCTTGAATCTGCTGCTGCTGTTTTGTCTTGTCAAATCATAGTGGTCAGTAGCATTTTTGTTTATAAATTGTGACCATTACTTGGTTTTCAGTGTCAGGTAGAGTTATTCTAATTGATTGTTTCTCTTTTGCACAAAGTGACTTTGGTTGACAAAGGATCAAAATGTCATGCCTTACAGGACCAGGGTCCTACATATAGGCTATACTATATAATACATACATAATCATATAAACATAGCTAACCTATTGAAAGAAGTAGCCTAATCTAATTATACATAGGATATACATTAAACATACTTTGGATTTACACATGTAGCAACATGCAGTGCAGTGGTACAGAAAGACAAAAACGTTCTTTGTCCACTATCTACTTTTCAAGCGAATCGTAGAGATTATGCTCCTTTATGTCCTCGTAATAATGTTAAAACTACACTGTAAAAAAAATTCCGTAAAATTTACGGTAAAAAAACAGCAGTTGGGCCGCTTCTGGAGCTTGGATTTTTACTTCAATAATGAGGTCCAATTTTAAGAATAGCCTACGCAAGAAGTTTTTATTTTATTTTTTTTTTTTGTAATGCATTTTCCCCCCTCTCTATTTAACTTACAATGAAAGACGTCTACCCTCAGGTAGATTAAATGTTTTCCTGCCGTGCTGGATGTTGGGCTCATGATCAATAAGTTGTTTGCATTCGCCCGAACTGGTTTTGTAAAATAAAAAAGCGGACGGTGAAGGGTGCAGTTAGCGCGAGTCCCGCTCGCTGTGAAGCGGAAGCAGCCGGCAGAGAATTCCGCTTGGTCTTAAAGCCGCCCTCAAAGCCTATGTTCACAAATAAAACAACGATTTGCGCAAAAATAATGATTAGTTATCACAATCTATTTTAGTTATCAATTGAGAATTTGTTACTGATATGATCTGGTGAAAATAATAATATGACCTGCGAGAAAATAAATATAAAAAGAGTGGGGCTGCTATGAGTGCAAGCAGCGGAACAGCAAAGTTCAACCCAGTGGCATGACAACACCGGCCCTCGCAGCCAAAAAACAGACATTAGCCAATCCGGGCCTGAATCCGTGCATTCGCACCTCAAGCCTCTGCTGTCAGCACTATTCTTCGTAACGACAGAGTAATAGTCCTCTCAGGAAGCAGTGGTGAGACGTAGTGGTTTTCAGATAGGCTACAACCGAAGTCCCTTTCAAGGAAAGTCTGTTCACTCGGCGGCCATATTTGCAACGCCTCCGGGCAGCTCAAACAAGACCATGTCCTATCTAAATGAATGGGGGAATCCTGAAATCTCAAAAACTGCCCTATGAACTTACAATTACATATTTCAAATCAGCAACAAAATCTGAAATGAACTGCCTCATTAATGTTGTTTCTTATGCTCATGTAGTGTTAAAAAAGCTTATTTTGCAGGCTAGACCAGTCATTGCGCATGCGCAGTTCCAAGGTTTCTATGGGAACCGGAGCTTCTAATGGCCGCTGCAGTGACGCAATGACTTTACCAGTCAGCGATTGGCTCTTTCATTTAGAAGGCGGGACTATTCCGCCATATTGCGCGTTGCAGCTTCTCCCATTCATAAGTATAGGAGTGAACAGTCTTTGTATTTCAATAGTCTTTGCTGCAACACTCAAAACTACAGAACAGATTAATCAAAGGATCATGTAAAACCCAGTAAATTATTACTGGGCTTATTATTTGTGACATTAGAACAAAATGTATGGATATAATTATCATGTTCTCGTTATGTGGGTACCATTCATAAAACATGAGGCGAGCACTGTGACTGTTAATCGTCTTTTAATGCTGCCACCAGAACAGAAATCGCACTATTTATACTACAAAATGGCATTGAATAGTGCATAAGTATGCAAATTGGGACACACTTAGTGCACACTCAA